TTCAAGGGAACCAGCCGCGAGTGGCTTGTACTTGGGCGCACCAGTGGTGTGGCCAGCTTTTTTGCAAGTCGTGTCATTCAGCTACATTTTGTTTACTTAGATCATTTTATTTCACCGGCTATTTACATTACCCTTTGACAGTTGGCACTCTGCCAGGTTGCGAACGCTGTGGCCGCGGTGGCTCCGGCCAGTTTTTGTATACGGTGTTCAGGTGCCAGAACCAGCATTGGTTCTTCTTTATTTCCTGGCTCGACCTGTGATCTTCAAAAGAATCTATGTGCGCGACATGATTTAAGACACTAGGGCAAAAATCCGTTTGCGCGTCCTTTGCAAAACACAAATCTATTGCCTGCTGTCTATGCTTGAGCACCACCAGATCAGTCACGGGCCTTTGGCCTTGGGATGGTTCAGACCGCAAAAGCGGAAAATCATGGGCTCGTCCCAGCGACATGCTCGTCCCAGCAGTATGCTCGTCAAGACCCTTAATGGCATTTAGCCTTGTGAAGCCGTCTCCTTGAGATGGTAGGTCTATGCTGTATTTTGCTGATCAAGCGCTGATGCTAGGACAAGGCGACATCAAGACTCCATCATGCCTTAGTTCGGGGACTTTCTTCACTCATCCCTGGCATGCCAGGCCAATGCTGCGGCTGCCGCGGTCTTGCCTCTGCAGCAGCAAATGCAGCAGAAGGAAACTCAGCCGCAGCAGCTGCCGCAGCAGCAGCCGCAATTGCCGCAGCAGCAGCCCCAGCCGCAGCAGCAGTTGCAGCAGACGCCGCAGCACACGCCGCAGCACACCCCTCAGGCTCAAGAAAAGAGCCAGCCCCAGGCAAACCACACGCACGTGCAAGCCGGGCAGTTTCAGCCCGCCTTTGCTGTGATGCAAGATCCAGCAGGGATCTTAATTAGGGACATGAGAGGGATGGAGGTTGCAGTTTTGCACTGGGCAGCCTTGTGGATTTGAGCGGCCAAGAACCGAGCAACCAGGAGGTTTTCCGGTTTGCCCATTCAGATTTTGATGACTTATATATGTTGCTTTGCTTGCGCCGCTCAGAGTAAGTAGGAATTCAAAAGCCGCGACTCAGGCTGCTGCTGGAGCACCAGACACCTCTCAGGCAGCCTTGGACGAGCCCTCCTGCCACGATTTTTGCCGCCAAACTCAAACGATACAACCAACCAGGGTGCAAAGGCTGGCCAGGCTTGTGTTTGCAGGATGCAGGGGCTGCTTGAACTGCCAGATTTGCTTTGAATTTTGATACATTTCTTTTCGGATGATGAGCATCTTTGAAGCCTCAGCCCTTAACTCTCCAAACAGTCGACTGAATCGGCCAAACCTGTTTGCCACTGTGGAATTAAAGCTCACTCCTAGCACAACTCAGGAAGTGATCCCGCACTCATGTTTGGTGTTGCAACCTGGCCAGCAGCGCCTATGCAAGGGTAAATACTGAGCAAGTGCTCACCTTCATCCATATCCCTATGTCGCCGTTGAGTATGTCTCAAACTGCGACAACCATCCTTGTGCGTAAACCAGTCTCGAACCAACCCCGGCGTTCCCAAGCCACGGTCCGACGGTCCCGCGTGAGCCCTCAGGTTGGCTCGCCAGCACGATCGGCTGATCGGCACCATCCTGGCGGAAGAGGAGGAGCCGCGTCTTGGGCAAAACGCGGTGGTCGTCCGCGAACGCAAGGCCAGATGTGACGGACGCTATCCCAACCCTGGCCCAAGGATTTTGCCCTGGGCAAAGAGCCTTGGCAAAGGGCGCTGTCAAGGACTTAGCTCTAAAATTTAGCCACTGAGGCAGCCGGAGGCTAGTCACTTTTGTGGTGTGGGCACAAAGCAACTTGGGGAACTCCGGATTGTGAACAAAAAGGGATGAGCCGCAAACACGACCCGACCAGTGATGAAGCCTCCTCATTTGCTGAAAAATGAATGACTACCCAGGGCCCTGCAAACTAGGATAGTCAAGAACTTGCTTGAGCAGCTTGGGATGCGACTATCCGTCGTTATTCGGGGCAACGGTGTCTTTTTACGTGTGTCCCTTCAAAATGAGGTGGTGGGGGTCATATCCCTCGCGGAGGCACGCCCCATCTCTCGCTGGTTCCGTCCACAAGACCCCGTGGATCAGGAGCTTATCACCGCCCACCGCCAGCACATTGACATGATGGTGGAGCTGATCAAGGAGCCCACGATGCTTTTTTTTCTTCTTTTTTCTGAATGAACCCACCCGTGAAGGCCCCGGCCAGCATGGGGGCTTAAACGAGGAGGGGGGGGGGACCGTTCCCTTCAACCCCCGACGTCGATGGACGAGACAGTTGGCCTCTGGCCACATTTTTCCCCGGTCAAAAGGACCCAAGCTTGGGGTTGGCTTGGTGTTCTGCTAATCGTGGATGCGGGGGGGGGGGGTGTTGATCGATGATACCAATTAGGAAGCGTAATGTATTCCTATTCAGTACAACATCACCATGGCTCCGGGTTTGCCCACCCAACCTGTCCTCGGGGCAGGTTCTTGCAGCAGGGCTCGAGTCAGAGATTCTGTGGAAATCACACGTCGGGGACTACGGCCTGTGTCCCCCTCATTTGACTGCAGACATTTCGTTCCAGAAGCAGTGAGACCAAAGGCAGCCACGGCATTGGCCTCTCAATCCACTCACCGGGGCCCAAGGGCTGAAAGCATGTGGGCCAATTCAGACACCCCCACCCTGATTTGAGCACGGTTCCATACTTAGGGTTGCCCCGAATTTGCAAAACGAAAGGAAATGCAGAATCCGCTGCTTTGTGGTCTCCGTGGTATTGCTCATTTTGGGTTTTGCTCAAATTCAATCGGGGGGGATTACGCAGGTTTTGGCCTTTGTTTCCACTTACCAGGGTTCCATTTTGGTACCAGTTGTTTGAGCCGTGGTTGATGGGCAGTTTGTGTGTCAATGTAACCTGGAGTGCTTCTTTGGGGGGTATTTGAAGGGGCCGTGCGCGACCATCACTCCAGCGCCAAACGCCCCTGCGAGGTCTTGCTACGGTCACTGTTACGGACCCTTTGTATATACATCCTGAGACTGTGAAATGGATTGCCAGTGTGGGAGCAAGCATGAGCATCACCCAACCTGCCATCCAGTCTGCAGAGTTGGTTGGTTGCGCACAACTGCTCTTTTGGCTTCCTACGCACTGTAAGCTTGCCAAATCCTTCTATCCTTCTTCTCCCTCCCGGCAGGAGGAGATGGTGCACCTGAACAACGTGGATCGACCTGGCTCGGACGTGGATGCCTATGTCAGTGGCCTGGACCGAATTCTCCAACTCAAGGCGTGAGCACTTTTGGGCCAGCATGCGCAAGCGCGCAAAGACATTTTGCTTCGGATGAGTCTTGCTGCCATGCAGCACACCAATGGCTCTGCACCCCAGCAATGATTCGACCTTTCGCAGGCTGACCATATTGGCGACATCCGTGGCCGCGTGGACCTATTCAAAGAGCACTTGGCACAGGACGCATCCGGTTAGTTTGGCAGGCTCACCATGGACAACGCATGTTCGATGTGTTCACAAGTGGCAAGGGGAACAGCACTCACCATCAACAAGCAAAGAGTCTTTTAACTTTTATGCAACAAGACTGAATCTTACTACACTCAGTAAAGTTTGAGGGGCTGCGATACGTTGTGCAAGACGCAGTTTAGCTTTGTCCACCGCATAATACTCCTACAAAATGTCCGAATCGACAGATTGATTAACGTAGTGTGCCAACCAGAGTTGAGTCTAACCCTTTGTTGAATCATGTGCTGTTGCTATTGTTTAAACAATCTTCCTTTGGTGGGTATAGTTGTTGAAGCAGATTGAGCTATGCTGGAAGGCCAACTCTTGCGACTTTGCAGGAAGACGCGCTTTCGCGGAAATTCCAATCCCTGGCCTCCTCCGCGTGAGAAACAAGGGTTGTCGGCGAAGGTCCTCGGATGGCTTGCAATCCAGTCGGAACCCTGATGATGGCGCTGGGCCGATGGGTTGGCTTGTTTGTGCAGGGAATTTTGCTTTGGGCCATTCATTTGGAAATGAATTTAAATAGGGATCCCCTCAAGAGTGGTTGGTGGACATGAATCTCCACGCAAATGATAGAAGTTTATATCCATTCATGACCACGACACGTCTCATGCTACATGGAAAGCAATATGTCCGTCTCCAAGCAAAGGGCCCTTGAAGGGTTTCCTTTGGCTCAACGTCGAACCGCATTTGAAACGAAGGGTCCAGTATGCAAAACCTGCAAGTTGCGGAATGCCAACAAGCTGTTGTCATCCAGGGCAGTGGAAAGCTCGCTGGTTAGAATTCAGACATTCCCGGTGGCCCGCGAATACGCAGAGGGCCAACTTTTTCACCTGCTCTAGAAAGAGCTGACCTGAATTGCCTTCACTGGCTTAGCAGTGAATCTGGGGATGCAAAGCTCCGCTGAAGAAAGCGGTGATCCTGGAGCGCACTCTTCGATGCACGATGTGTTCGTACAAAGATGTACCAAGTCAGCTAGATGTTGCAACATTTTGCGTGGTTGTGAGAGAAACATGGTATTTGGTTAGTGTGTACCAACACATGTTGATGCTTCAAAAGAGCACATGCTTTGTGGGGGCCAAGGTACATGCAGGTGCATTGGGGATGGTACTTCCCTGTGACTCAGCAGGTTGTGCCAGCGAGCTTATGGGGAAAATCGCTTTGGGTAGCATGGCACTCAACGGCTGCGCCCTCGCGACACTGCTCGTGACTGCAAGCCAAGAGGCCGAGTTGGGTGCTGAGAATACAGCGGAGTGCTGCAAAAAGGGTGCTGGCGATAGTGATTTCTATGCTCGGCTCCGCACCCAGATGCATGCTCGCATGCGCGCGGCCGCATTGATTCAGCAACGAACACGTAAGATCAGGGCATGCTCAGACAAGCAGAATCCAGTGGGAGCGGTTTGGGTGCCTTCCCTGATCAGAGGTCCGATTTTTGGAGTGGCAGGGCGTGGCAGGTCGGCTCGGCTCCGATACATTTGGCTGCAGCTTCCAAGGGTAGGATCGGCCTCTTGGAGGCCCAGGCGCGTGGCAAAGCCGGGAGGGGGTGACGAGTCAATGGCGCGCAGCGGAGTGAAGCGAAAACTGTTGCCCCTAAAACCATTGACGACATGTCTGAAAGTACGGAAGGCGGCGATGCCTCGGTCTGCAGCGCAGGCAAAGCAGATTTCTTTTGATGCCACAGATGCAGGGGGAGATTAAGCTTTCATTAAAGGGCTCCCTCAATGGAGCAGCAACCCACAACACACACTTGAACACTTTTTAGAAGGCATCATCAGCACTATCCTCATATTGTAAAAGTGTGCGCAACTCAACATTCGCTGCGCAAATGGGTACTTGCAAGAGGTCACGGGTCAGGTGACTCACAGAGTCACAGATGCTCACAGCAACGGACCCTCGCTTTCGCGTGTGATGGACACTTAGGGTCTATTTTGCAAGCGCCTTCTTTCGGGTTTCGTTTTTTTTGTTCCTGGCTGCAAAATTGAACTCTGGAGTGGAATCGCGCCGCAGTCAACCCGTGCCCAGGAACAGAGCGCCATGCAGTTGAGGCGCAATCGTCCGTGTTGATTCTGTCTCAGCAGTTTAACGTGATGGGAAACATATAGGTGCTGTAATGGCATAATACGCCCATGCCTAACCCGTAAATGCATTTGTCATTTGTGAGGCTTTGGCGATTTGTCTCTGCTGTGGTTCAAACAGGTAGGACTGAACGGTTTAAGACCTAGCGTGCCGGATTGTGCGATTTGAATTGTCTCCGTTGTCCGTTGGCCAGGTATCTCAAAAACCTCAACCCGGCCATCGATGGTATGTCCAAGGCAAGACCAGCGCAGTGTGCGTTGAACGACGCGTCCATCTCCAGGTCATGGTGCCGTTGGCAAGCTCAGTGGTGTGAGTGCGCAGGTGACATCCATTTCTTGGAGTAACAACACCACGAGGCTGGACGCAAGCTGCAAGCGCATTTAGATGCTCAGGACGCGTTTCAACACGGGAGGGGAGGAAACTGCATGAATCCAATCATTGTGAGGAGTTGCTAGTTTTGAGGCGCACATACACACACAGAGAGGGCGACACGCAACATGCTGCAGATGTATCCAGACTTTGGAGTTGTGCAGGCTAGCCACCGTCGGAGCGGACAAAATTGCTTCCTCCTCAGATTCTGGCTTGCTGTGTGCGGTTCGCACGAAGCAGAGGGCACTCGGCATTCCATCCGCCTTATGAGCTTCGTCGCAGTTCCCGCGGGCAAGTCTGCCAACCCTACCTGGGATAAAGCCGATAGGAGTTTGATGGCAAGCAAAGTCCATGAAGTGCTTGCTTGGAACTTGTGCTTCGTCATGTCCCAGTTCCCAGTGAAGCAATAGCCCCTTGGCAAGTTTGTGCAAGACTTCAACTCTCGTGACAGGCTTCCAGGGCTGCCCTCCACTTACGGGGTGTTTCGACTAAGCTTCCCTGCAGAGTCGTGGGAGCTTTGCTGAGAGGTGCAGCTCTTTGACGAGCACGGCGAGAAGCAGGACGCGCTTTGTGCGCGGCGTGGAAAGCGAGGGCTCCACAGGGAAAGGACAACACGGATGGGATCAGCTTGACATGAGACAAGGGTTTGACAGTTTGACAAGATGGCAATGGAGCTGCTCAGCCTCCAGGACCGCTTCAGCACGAAGCCGGCGGACAAGGCCGCGCGGAGCTCGGGAAAGGAGGCTTTGGGCTTCGACGAGCCCTGAGTGCCGTGGGGCAAGAGTTGTTTCAGACAGCCCCTAGCCCTTTGGAGGGTAATTAACAGGTTTTCCAGGGGTTGAAGATGAAACCTGCATTTGCTGCGACTGTTCCTTTTTGGGGTGCCCTGTCACATCAGCGTTGTCAACAGGGTTGATTTTGGACCAACCCTCCAAAGGGCTGCCATGTAGAGGGCCATGCTAAGTGACAAGACATATCCGCACCCTCGAAAAGAAGCGCAAGAGCATCGCAAAGAGCAAGGTCTTGAGCCCAGCACATGCGACAGGTTGATCCCAAAATGCCTCACATTTGACAGTGTTTGGGGCTGTGCAGAACGCTCTAGCCGAGTGCCGAATGATGCGGTGCCTTTGTGGGCGGGTCGAAAGGCAATATTTGGCAAAGCAGCTCTATTGGCTTCTTTGGTCTGACAGTTTGATATTATTTTTGGAGTCTCAACCCGACTCTGCATCCGCCCTGCGCCTTTCTGGGGCTGCGCACCCATGGTGTTTCTCAAAGTTAGCATAGTTAGTCCCAAAGTTTTGGCTGCTTTCTGGGTTCCTGTAAAAATGATTGGTTGGAGCCCCAGCAAATGGTTGGTCACCAGGGGTTCTTGATCTCAACTCCTCGACTCAGGCTGCTCGCACCTACGCCGTGAAGACCATCGAGTTTTCGCCCGACGGCACCAAGCTGGCGGTCGCGCAGAGTGACAACATCGTGCCGGAGCCCTGGCAGGGAGAAGGGGCCTTTCCGGAAAAAAAAGGCGGAGCATCCTCCTCCCCCAAAAGACAGCCCTTGGGTGAGCTAAAACAAAGTCTTGACAACAGAGAGGTGCGAAAGGGCAGGCAGGAGGTGGGCTTTGGGCCTTGGGGTTCTTGCCAAGGAGACCTTGCAGGGAGTTGCTTGATGTTTGCGCGGAGGCAGTGCATGAGAAATTGGTGGCACGACAACTGGAAACTATGCTTTTTACGCCGAGTAAGTTGTAAGAGATGGTCCCTTGCTTGGTTTGTGACAACACGCTCAGGTTTGTCTACAAGCTCGGAAGTGACTGGAAGGCGCATGGGTGCTAGAGGGGGTCGTCACCTGCGTTCAGTGAATCCCGCACAGTTCTCGGGAGCAAGTCTAGCTCATGTGAAGGGGTGTGGGGCCTTGCTCTCTTGGTGGTTGTGCTTGCCTTCTCTGATCAGACACTTTTTCCGCGAGGACAAGAAGTCCATTTGCAACAAGTTTCAGCAGACCTCCAGCGTGACCTGCCTCAGCTGGCCGGCGGGCCATCCCAACGAGGCGAGAAAGGGCCCGAGCGGTCCGTCTGTGGAGGCCACCACTTGTTATTCTTGAATGAGAAGTCTTGGGTCGAACAAGAATCCCTGCGCCTTTTCGTTGTGTAAGGGCCCGTCCCTCAGTTTTCTTTGCAGGCCTGAACACTGTAGATTGATAACCGATACCACGCTGGTTACAAGAAGGGTTGTCCACTTTTTTCAGCCCAATTGAAGTTGCCCCTACTCAGAAATCGTGTTGTGCACCAACCAATGCATTTGCAGCCGTTGCCTCATTTGCCGTCTCGCAAATGCCGACCACAGACAGGCTTGTTTCCTCTTCTTGGGTCACATTTGCATGAACCAAATCAAACATTTTTCCGTATATCATAAAAGCAGTGCGCGGGCCCGCGGTCTCTGCCCCAACTCGCTGTGGGCTTCCAGAGCGCGCCAGGTCGTTTTCGGCCTTGCCGAAGGCAAGGTCAAGGTGGGCCAGTTGAAGTCCAACAAGGCGCGCAGACGGTCCGAGGTCTTGCGGGGGAACAACCGGGAGGGCATGCTACATGGAGCTGGAGCATGGACCCTCTGGCCGTCTCCACTGCAAAGCAGGAGGCTGCCGGTTCTCTCGAACCATTCAAGGGATTCCATACAGTCACCTTTGATCGCAGGACATGACAAGCATGCTGGGTTTGGTGTGTGTGTGTGTGCGCGCGCATGTTTCGCTTGCTCCTCCTGCAAGAAGCGGTCCAAACGGGTTTCCGGCCATTCTCTCCCATTTTGAGCGCACCCCAAACGGCAGGCGCATTTCTCCGCCTCAGTTCCGCAGGCGGCGACCTTGTACTCCACGGACTCATTCGTGGTGTCCATGTGCTCGGGCTCGGGTGCCCCAGGTGGACCGTGCGATGCTTTGGGAGGATGGAGAGAAATGCCGGTCTGGTTTGTGTGGGGGGCGTGATGGTGCAGTTTCCTGGAGCATTGTTGACATCTCAAGGGGCTCGTCGAGCTCGTTGAATGGTTCGCTTCGGGTGAGGATATCAAGGAGAGTGTTTTCCAGCTAAACGCTTTAGCTCTTGGCAGAGTGTTTGAACTTAAACTCATCCGGCTCGTTTCGCAGACTTCGCGCCTGAAAGCAGCTTGCCTTTTCAGAGGGGTGCCCTGGATTTGTAACATAAGTTGAGTGGATCTGATGCGGAACTGATTTTTGACACAGAATGGCTGCAGCGCATTGTTGCCGGCTTGATATAATAGCTCCACAAAACATGTTTGCGGAGCTCCGCTGCAAAACCTCTAGTTTCCTTCTTGTGCAGGCTGCAGGAGAATTTGTATCTACCATGCCTAGTCTGCAAATTTGCGATTGATCCGATTTTCCTTTGCCCAGCGAAGGAACTGTTATCTTTGCAAACTATATATGGTAGAAGCTGCATGTATAAAGCGGGCACCCTGGTCATCTAGTGGGAATCTTTCCAAATGCATCAGTCCTATCACCCGCCGAGAAAGGAGGTAGGACGTGGGACTTTTTGCCCGTTCCATGGGCGTGACAGCCAGTACAAGTGGTTGCTGCATTTCGGCTGAGGACCGGATGGGAACTCCATCCTCAGTGGGCACGCGGACGGTTCAATTTATCGATTTCATTTTGAGACTGAGACTGCCTGGAGCCCAGCGACAACAGCACAGTGTTGTCGGAGTCGCCCCCTCCCCTCCCCTCCCCTCGCTTTGCCTCCCCTCCCCTCCCCTCCCCTCCCCTCCCCTCCCCCCTCCCCTCCCCTCCCCTCCCCTCCCCTCCCTCCCCCCCTCCCTCCCCTCCCCAACAAACAAACAAAGACTGGGTCCCCTTTTGCACCTTCCCAAAGCGGTCCACGAAGGCACGCCACTGTTCATTGAGAATGAGACAGGCAGTGGAAAACTAAAACACATGGAGTGGTCACAGTTTTTGGTCTCCCGCCCTTGTAGAGGTGGCGCAAAAAGAGCCCTGCAGGGTCGCATCAGTCATTTGGCCCGCGCGTCCGAGGTCCCTCGTCCCACGACCACCAAGTTTGCCATGGTGCCACAGGCGCTTCCGGCCCCAACTTGAGCTCCAGAGGTATGGTGGAGAAACCAAGAGAATCCCCGTTAAAGTAATGAAGAAGATGAAGTGGTCATGGCCAGAAACGCCTGATGCTTGGTTTCCTTCGGGCAGGTTATGCGCAGTCATTATGTCTTGCTGTTCAGAACTTCAGAGTTTCACAGCTGGGCCACGAGCCGCATAATTTTCCGACGCGCTTCTGCCAGACCCTTCATACTAGCAGAGCCACCCCTGTTTGGCCAATGTTAGTGATAATTCTAGTGGCTTCTGGGAATTAGGATGCAACCTTATAGTTATTTTGGCGGACCCCAACATTCATCAACGGGTTTTAGGGCCACTCACAATATGAGCTTTGCCGCGTCCATGGCTTAATCGCCGTTACACCCAAGCGTCTCCCAAATGTGAAAAGAGCCTCGGCCCAGTGCGTGCCCTACGCGCTGTCCTGGGGCTACGCCGGCATCTGCGCCGCGGGGAACGACCGCATGGTGCGCTTCTGGGACTCAGAGGCCCGCCGGGATGGATCGGGGGGCCGATTCCGGGGGCGGTTCCGGGGGCGGGGGGGGGGGAGGTCTGAAGCAAAGGCTTGCCTTTCCTCGCACACTGCCCGACTGTGTCAGATGAACCTGGCATCCTGGGCTTTGCTTCTGCCTTCCGATGCGTGAAGGTTCCAAGGTAGCGGGCATGAGAAGCTGGGCGAGTTCCGCAATGGAGTGTTGGTACCAGGCGCTTCAACCAAATTTTGCTCGTGGGGGTATTTATCATGGAAAGGCTCGGAAACAGATCCAAACAGCCCCTTGCCAGCCCTTGCCAGGGAAGAGAGGGGCAGACCTTTGACTACAGCACTGACACCAGGATCAAGGACACGACACGCGTTTGCCTGATGGCAGCCGCGCAGCGTGTGACCACAATTGAAATGATGGGGGCTCTACGTACAGTTGTTGAAGTCGGCCAGGCAGATGAACAGTGCTGAAGCAAATTGCAGACAATTACCAGCTTTTGTTTGTACAGGATTTGAGATGGCGCCCCTCCAACCAGCACCATCCCCAAGTCACTCGTTCAACCCTTGAAAAGGTACAATACAGGTAACTCTTTTGTTTGCCCAAGCTTTTTTGGCAGCGCAGAGTGCCAAGGACCACCCCGTGTAATTTGGACATGGAACCAACTTGTCCAGAATCAGGACGTTCAACCTTGGCCACTTTCATAAGGGTGGTCCTCCTCGCATCTTCCGCTCTCTGCTCTCTCTCTCTCTCGCTCTCTGCTCTCTCTCGTCTTAAGTCTTGGTTTGCTTGGCTGATTTGGACTCAAGATTGGCCACGCCAGGAGTTCACCTGCGCAGCCTTCAACCCCTCGGGGGAGTCGGTGGTCCTGGGGAACTACAACCGCTTCCTCGTGAGGGGCCCCAGCTCGGGGGACGGGATGGCCGGTGATACGCTGTTGGGCATCTCGTACAACGTATGCGAACTGTGCGAGATTTTCCGAAATGCGAGTTGAGGAGATGTGGATTGTCTTCAAAGTGCGGACTGCGCCACCATTGTGCATTCAGAAGGAACAGGTTTGGGATATTTGGGTCGGGTCAGCTGATAATTCGGCTGGACATCACTTTTTGGGCCCGCGGGCTTGAAGAAATCCTTCAAAGATGAGAGGCAATGGGGCAGAGTAGAAAAGGTCGAACAACTCTGAGCAAGTTTTGTTTGCGCTTCAAGGTGAGCGATTGTGTCTGGGAATTTCAGCCTCTCTCAGGTGTTCGCTTGGCACCCCAAGCGGAGCGAGTGGGCGGAAGTGGTGCAGCGCGAGGCAGGAACTGCGAGCTGCCCATGGCTGACTCAGACCCATCAAGCCTAACAAAGATTGTACAAGGCTCAATTGCGGCCACCTGTCTCAAGATGCGCATTTTTTTGGATTTCTTGGCTCCCTACTGGTGGCTGGCAGGTGCCTAACCTCTACACGGTGTCCGCACTCACATGGCGCGCAGACGGCAGCCGCCTCATTGTCGGCTCCCTGTGCGGGGGTGTGGACATGTTCGATGTCTGCATCCGCCGGTCGCGCCGGGGCGCCTGGCCTTTTGACAGTTTAGTCCCTCGTCCTTGTGAAGGAAGCTTGGTGAACTGTCAAGCCCTTACTCGAGAAGGAATCAAAACAATGATACTGTAGAGCCTCCGTGAAGAGGTTCGCGAAAAATTGGCAAAAGAGTGTGGGGTGGACTTGTGGACAAACCTCATGAAGTTTGCTTCGACCCTCGGCGTATCTCAGTCCACCCTCCCCTCGCGATCTTTTGAGATCGCGCGGCTGCAGGCTACCGCGGGACGCACGAGTTCACCTACGTCTCGCTGAGCCAGGCTGGGGCGAAGTTGTTGCTCACGGCTTGGGAGGCGACGAGGTTTGGGTCCGAGGACTTGGGACCATGACGGACCCTTTAAACAGAAAAGAGGGACACCTGGTTGCGGTGCCTCTCCAGCGGCCGTGCTGTTGCTGCAAGGCCTTTGGAACGCATGAGGGAACTCCACAAAACTTGCCGGGGAAACAGGAGTACATCAGCTTTGCTGGATTGCCGGTAACAAGTCAAAACACATCCAGAGTTTCTATGCCGGTAAGAAGCCGAACATTGTGTGTTGCGTCAGGTCATCGTCAAGTCCCTGGCTACGGGGGCACGCATTGCGTCCTGGCAGCATTTGGCACCGGTACCCTTTCAGGTGAGATTAGTTGAACATACCTTGACATGGGATGCGCATACCAGCACCATCGATTTTCCAAGGGCGCCTGGAGGAAGACCCAAGAGGGAACCACTTTGTCAAACAAACGGTCGCCTGTTTATGTTTTGCAGGCACACGTGTCCGATTGTTTCGCACCAACAAGCAGGCGTGGCGATCGCGTGTATTTTTGTTTCCTCCCCTTGCACCGAAACGGTTGATTGCTACATGGAGAGAAGAGAGTGTGTCTCTAAATCGGACGTCCCTCTAGGTGTTAACAGCACTTTCAAGCCATCAAACAAGGGGCTCCCCGATTCAGACGTCAGGTGCTTAAGAGCAACGTGGGCTTCGAGATCCAGAAGATCAACATTTTCCAGGCGATCCGTGGTTGTCACGAAGCGAAACGGGCCGCCAATCCTTTTTTCGCCAGCTCACAAAAACACTTTCACTATAGCTTTTGGTTTGCCGTTGGACAGTCCCTGTTTGTTGCGGCTGCCTGTCGACAAGTCAAACGCCGACTTCTTTGGCAGCTTATAGTTCGCACTACTGGCTAGAGATACATCCCCTTTCAGTCGCTTCTCTGCCGGTCCGGACGTTTCTGGGTCTCTTTGCCAAGTTTAATCTGTTTGCGGCTTGGCCCGGGTTGAGGGCTACTCTCGGCACCTCCCCATGCCCGACTTCCACAAAAAGCACAAGACTGATCATCCTTTCCATTTGCGGGTCCCCGATTTGGGCGAATCTGATCCTTGAAGATATTTGGATCCAGTTTGGATCCCTCATTTTGATACATTGATTCTCGTATCGACGGAACCTGGCCCGAGGAGCGCTTCCTGGTGGCCCACACGCCGGAGAGCATCTTGCTGGGGGACCTCCAGACCTGCCGGGCGCCCCCGGTCGATCTCCCGGTATCTCAGTTTTTCCCCGTGTAACAAGTCTAGGTGTCGAATTGGGTTTGGAACGCAAGAGCTGTGGTCCACACGAAGAGAGCCATTTTGTCAAAAGGAGCCGTCCCTTGGTAAACAGAAGGCTGGGCAAACGGCAAGTGCCAAGCACAGTGAGTCTGCTCAGTATCGTTTCTTTGTTTTGCCATAGATCCGCGGCTTGTTTGTGAGCCTTTGAGAAGAGGAACGTGAGTGCACCTCTGAACAAATGCTCCAGTGCGGCTGCTTTCGCTACGCCCCCCGCTAAGTGCCCGGAACTGAAAGAGAGTAGCACACATTCATTGGGCGCCAAATAGTGGTCATTTGCCATTCCGTGTTCCAGCTTGCTTTCTGCAAGCTGTTGTTGCGGCTCATTGTTTTTTCAACATCTTTCAACCGTGAAAGTAGAGCCCAGAACCCAGAGTGGTGTTTGTTCCCCGGGGCCTTTATTCAGTTTCCATCGAGCAGAAACGAGTTCCCGCCTTCGTGCAAACCGCGAGGTCGGCTCTCGGAGATCCCTTGGCACTCCAGTGGCCGGGGCGCTCAGCGAGTCCGTCACGGGATGGCCCATGAAGTCAGTAGTACCCTGAATCTGCAGCAGGGGGGGTTGGGCATGCAGATCTGGCCTTCGATGGAGCTGGGAGTCTGGTTTGAAAGGAGGACCGTGCCTTTTCGATGAGAACGTCACAATCGAGAACATGAAGAGCATGTATGGCAGAGCGAGCTGCTATACACACACACACGCACAAATGCGCGCTGCTGCCGTCCGGCATATTGCCCCCCGCCCCCCGGTTTGAGCGATATGCTGGTTGGACCCTTATTGAGATGGTCATTAGAGCCGGAGTCCAATCAAAAAGTGGCCAATTTGTGGAGCATCTTTCGCGTGTCGGACCGGGCTGAAACTTTGGGGGCCCGGTTTTGGTCAAAGGGGAGCTGTGGCAAGGCACGGAGAAGTTCTTCTTCGACAACCCCACGGTGTGCATGATTTTCAAGGCCGGGCAAATGGCCAGATCAGCTGGAAAGACATGAGTTCACCAAACTATGCCAACCCATTGGCTGGGAGGGGGGTCACACCGGACTTTTGCCGTTAGCCGCAAGTACTTCTTTTTGAGAAACCCATTTCCCTGGGCCAAGCAATCCGCGTAGCCAGCTCCCGCAATGCCAACCGCACATTTGGATTGTTCGCGGAGAGCTTGTACGAATTGACACTTGCTTGGGACTTTTGATATAAGGGGGATGAGAAGCCTGAGTCTCATAGCAAAGTAAAGTCGGTATTATCGTTTCCTCGTGAACAAAATGCAACTTCTTGATTTTGTGAAGTGAACACGTACCCAGATGGTTTGCCTCCTTCCTTTGAACACCACCAAACCACCGGGGGGCAGGACCTGGTTTTGACACGCAAGCCACCAGCCAGCAGGCAAATCAGCAGTCAAACAGTCAACCCCCGCTCCTAGCAAAACACAGCATTCCTAGGTATGTTTGTTTTGGAAAGTAGATGGCACTGTTTAGAAACAAACTGAAACCGGTGCCATCTTTTGGCAGGCAAATTCGCCTAAACAGCCCACCAGTGTCTCAGTGTCTCACTCCATTTAGGCTGGGGAGCTGTCGGTGGTGGAGTATGGCTGCAATGAGCTGCTGGCCTGCGTGCGGGCGCCAAACGCACGCTTTCAGCGGGGTCCGGTTCTGTCCAGAGAAAGGCAACATGGAGGTCAGACAGGTTTGGGGTCAGGGACCTCCGTAAATCAAAGTCTGAGCATCTGACCTGGTTTGGGGCTTGGGATGAGCTACTTAAGTGATCAGGTTGGGCCTAGTGACCATCACTTCTTTCCTTTTGACGTGGAAGCCATGAAGCAGAGATTTGGCCTGCCAAGTACTTGCGATTTGGGGAAGGTGTCAACGTGTGCTGGATTCTTCTGGCTGTTCCAAAAGGCGCCTCACTTTTTCACATTGCCAGTTGAGCTCTGCCTTCGGGCACATGGTTTGCCACCAGCGACAGGGTTTCTGGTTTTGTTTATCCACCTTGCCTAGCTCTTTGCCATTTCCCGGAGAATAGCGGCCTCCACACTCTGGAAACAAAGGCCTCCTGCATCCTATCCGAGGCAAGAACTGAATTCATGTCTCCGCATCTCATCAGCGCGCATCTCAGTGCGTCAGCTGCACGTTTCAGTCGCAAATGCCTTCTTCCCCAAGACGGGCCCAATTCGCTCTTGAAAATTGAAATCCCGGCCTTTGGACAGGGCCCCTACAGCTTCCAGCCACCCCGCATGGCCCATGTCCTCCCACTCCTAGGCGTGCGCATCAACACGCCGGACGAGGACGCCTACGGTGCAGGCGTGGGCGAGATGAAGGCGCGCTGCATCGGAGACATGAAAGTGGGGTTTGAAAGGGTGGGGTTGAATCATCAAGTATTGGAGCTTGGTTTGGCGCCTTGCTCTGAACTCGCAATGCGATTGCTGCTGCCTTGCACTCTGCAAGTAGAGCAGCGCTTGCTGCTGGGCACTGCAGGTCATTGCCTACCTGCTGGACCTCATGACGATCCGGGTCTGCGATCTGGCGCCGGCCTGACAGCTGGCAGATTGGGACTAAGCAGAGCGGTTGACTAGGCTAAACTTGCAGGCCCCTCCGCCTATTGTCCTTGTGGCTTTCCACATATGTTTGTGTGCAGGCTCATATTGTGATTTATTGCTCCTCCCACGACAAGCAGGAAGCACACCACAAGTACATTTGTATCGCGAGCTTGCGATTGGTGGCACAGCTGTATTTGCTGGACAGATTCTGCGTCCTGAATCGGACGCAAGGTGTCTAACGCGACGCTGGCCACCATTTCGCACGACACCCGCATTGATTGGCTCGCCGGTGGTCCCAGAGAGAAGATGCAGAAGGGCCATTGTTGATGCTATGTAAAGGCGCTGCTTCCAGCTAGCACAACCGAAACATTTGTCAAGAAGCAATCCTGGAGCAGGTGTTCCTGAGACACCTCGTGTCACTGTGCTGAGTTGAGTGTTTCTCAAATGGTGGACCCCCTGAACCGCTGGCATTTTAGGGGACCGAGTCCTATTTGAGAACCCCCCTACCCGGGTGTTCCTGGTGTCTCAGAGTTGTCCTGATTTCTGAATGAGGAGCTGAACCCCAACGGCGCGAACCGCCTGGGGCAGAGAGAGCGGAAGGAACTCGCGGGTTACACGAGGTTTGAGGATCATTCAGGCGAAAGCCTTGCCCTTCCTCCACTGCGGGCTATACAGGGGCTCCCTGTTGAAATACATGTTATGACAGTGCGTTGAGATGCCCTCTTTTGGAGCGGAAGATCTTGTGAGTGTTGTTGGTTTGGGAGATCTCTTCTTTCAATCCATATGGTGTTTGGGAGACGTTTGCGGAAGCTAACACAACCGCGAACAAGGGCAGCAGCCATGAAAGCTCATCAGTTTTATCAGATTCTTCTGGTTTTGACATCATACAGGCAGCTGCCCCACCAAGAAATGCGCCATTCCCAATGCCTACGCACGTTTTTTTTGCGTATCGACACGAGTGCATCAACCGTGGGGAGACCTGGGCATCCACGAGGGGACAAAAAACCCGCGGCATTCCCTGCCTTCGTCGACTGCTGGCGCCTGAGGCCTGATCTTCCGAGACAAGCGGCGTCAGCTTTACCTCTATGACATCGAGCAGCAGAACAGGGTGAGTCTCCTGCGGTTTCCGGGGATTGAGATGTGATCAGAGGGCTTCAAATTTGGGCGGGATGCGGCAGAGTGGAAATCATGCAGGCATGAACACGACGCCTGGTTCCCCGAAGCCGCAGGTGACTCTCCTCAACTACTGCAACTACGTGCAGTGGGTGCCGGAGAGTGACGTGGTTGTTGCTCAGAATCGAGGCTGCTCGGAAAAATCTGACAGGCTTCAAGACAGAGGTTGGTGTTTCGAGCAGTCTGCACGTGCAGACCCTTTTGGTTGTTTTTGACAGCGCCTGGCCAATTCGAAGTGAGTGTCCCTTTGGCGGAGTGATGTCTTAAGGTGGGACATTCAGGAACCCCTGGTGTTGTTGGCATCTCGTCTGCCGGTCCCATCTGAGGTCAGCTGTGCGTGTGGTACTCCATCAACGCCCCGGACCGTGTGACTTTGCATGAGATCAAGGGAGACATTGAGGACATCGAGCGCTCCAATGGCCGCACCTGCGTCATCGTGGATGAGGGCGTGAACATGGCCAGTTGCCCAGCCAGCGGGAAACAAGGTGGCTCGTGAGAAGAGGGTGGTGGTGGTGGTGGTGGTTCATCCCCTCACAAGTTGCAGCTGCGTGTTGCGAATGTTGCCCTTGGCCGTGGCGTGCCGCTCGCAGTTTGGACGTTGCATTCTGAAAGTTTGCCGGTTGCTACTTTGGCTTTTCGCTGCAAGCGGCAAAGCCGCACCGGTCACCGCATGGCTAGAAGATGATCTCAAAGGGACGTCCAGTTTGGGCTCTCAGGTGGAGTACGAGCTGGACGAGGGGCTTATTTCCTTCGGCTCTTGCCTGGAGCGAGGGCAGTATGCCAAGGCGGGGATGAATGAGCAGGGCGAAGATCGGTTTGAAGGTCTGCCCAGGGGTTCTTTGGCAGCGCAATGAGATCAAACATGTTTTGGCATGCATTTGGAGCAAGGTTCAGCAAAACGGGTTTGTTGGATGCTCGCAACCCAAATCTTATGCGCTTTTGCAATGCCTTGCGACTGTCTCACCGGACATCCTTCTTTTGGAAAAGGGCGGGCAATTGGCAACATGCAATAGTTTACCGCCTTGCCCTGCGCAGGCGGTGGACCTTCTGGAGGCATGGTCCTTGGTGGGAGTTGGAAGGGTGCAAGGGTGGGGCGTGCCTTTACCCCTTTGGGCCAAAAATCCCCAAAGGAAGCTGTTTACCCCGAAGAGCAAGTGTTCACCATTGCAAAAATGGTCTGGGAAAGCAACTTCAGTTGACGGCCGTGTAGGCCTGTGCTTTCTCGCACCGCTCGATTCCCTTGTTACGCTTGGTTGTTTTTTGTCAAGGGCTGCAAGCACATATGACGGGGAGAGGGGTTTACGGACATCTCGTGAACAGAGCTATTTTGACATTTCTTTCAGTCATTTGATGGTCTCTTGAGATTTGGCTTCTCCTCTTTCCGTCTTGGAGCGGACGCGGTTGGCTCCATTCCGCGATTTGCCTTTGCACATTACTTCTGGGAGTTCAGGTTTTTGAAGCCGTTCCATCGAGCGCTTTGCCACAGAGCAAACGAAGCTACACTCCTATTAGCTGTTTTCCAGGAAGGGCCCAGAATTGTTTGTCTTCCTTTGTACGTATATAATTGATTCTATATACAATATTCCTGGCAGGTTTTCGCCTGTATTGAAAAGGCTCGAAATGAGCTGCAAGTTTTCACCCGGTTGGAGCCTCAGCCAGGAGCTGCCGCTCACGCCGGAGACGGAGGCCATGTGGCGGTCCCTGGCAGATGCCTCCATGGAGCGCTCCGGGGGACAAGTCGCGAGCTTGAGGGATTCCAGCGCAAAAACGCAAATTGCATGGCGTGGAAGGTAAGGAAAGTACAACTCGACTTTGAACTCCTAAACCATCCTTCAAAGACGGGGTCCTCTTGGCACAAAGGAGATTTGCATGCGTGGAGCTTGCGGGTGGGAGCGCGTACATTGCTTCTTATCCCTGAACAATGGATCCCTCCCTCCCCTCTGCCATCGCAGCCGATCGGCGCCTGATTCGGCGCTTTGTGAGAGCGAGCGTCGCTTGATCAAGGCATACACACGCAGTCTAAACTGCAGTTTGTCGTTTTCTCCAGGGTAATGCAGGGGTGAGCCGGGACAAAGCACGCAGTCTTGGACCACTCACACCTTGTGGCTTCGACATCGGCGCGTGGAAAAAAGCGCCGATCTTGCCGCGAGGAGCACTTCAACCTGCCGGTGGCGGAGCGGTGCTATGCGGTGCTAGGCGACGTTGCCAAGAGCCGGTACCTCCACAAGGCAATGGGGAACATCGACAAAAAGGAAGTAGGGGAAGTGGGGGGTGGGGGGCACAGTAAGTGGGTGCTGGAGATATGCTAATGTGCAACTGAATCAACTTCAAACTGTGGCAAATCATTCGTGTCCCGTCGCAAACACGGGCACACCAATCCCACTGTAGTTGCAACCTTTCGAGTTTTGGTTTGCATCAGCAAAAAGTATGCCGGCGACATTCATGCGCCATTGCGCCATACTCCATGGTACTGACCTGGTTACTGGTTGCGCGCTGTATATTTCTCAGGTCCTTAATAGTGCCGCACAACATGCCAGCAAGGCTAGCTGGCTTGCGAGCTTCTGCCAATAGGAATTTAATGGAAGAAGAAACATGCGTGTGAATAAATGCAGCCTTGGCCTTCTGGCAACCGGGGGTGGCTTTCAATCTTTCTCAGAGACGAGTGGAGCACGACGCTCCACACAAGTTGCGGAGTGTGCTTTGAAATGCCAGCACGGGGAGCCAGCATGGGAAGCCAGGATGGGTGTAGCATTCAGCGAGCCACCGTTCGCAAGCAAGCCACGAAAAAGCAAGCAAGGGCTTCAGGGCGGGGTGGCCGGATCTGCGGCGATATCTTGGATGGCCAGGTGAACAGGTTGATCCAGGACCATGCGGCGGAGGTGGGCGGCGATGGGGCCAATTATTACATGGCCCAGGCCCGTCCCGTTGAGTCAAATGCCCTGCTGGGGGGGGGCAAAGGGCAGGAAGGCATGCCAGATCTTTGGACATGTCAGTGTCTCTTTGACGACATCCTGGCAAAAGCCTGTCTGGCTTTGTGGGCTTCTTCAGGCACAGGCACAAGACACCTATCTGTGTTGAGACCTGTCCACAAGTGACTAGGCAAACCGCCAGCCACTTGATTCAGACCGCGGCACTGGTTAATCAGAATTCACAGTGCTGGAACAAAGGCAAGCAAAGCTGCTTCCCAATTTGAGAGGGAAGCTCCGAGCCAGCGGGATCCAACCGCAAAGAGCTTGCTGCCGTAGTGGACCCCGACAGCCCACCAACTAACACGGAACCTGACAGGGGCCCTGCAACACTATTCTCTTCTTCAAGGGAGCTTCTCGCGGGTTCCATGTCAGTGGGGGAAGCGACTTCGCCCTTCCTCAGGCCAAGATGGCGATGCTGGCGAAGCAATTCCAGCGTGCTGAGGCGGTGTGGGAGGGGCACCCCAGAAGAACCCCTCTGGCAGAGGGCTTCCGAAAGGGCATGAACCTCGGAAAGTCAAATACAAATCCTGGTAACACAAAACCTTGACTTCAAACATGAGGTACAGGAGCTTCCCAACTTCCCTGTTGCCGCATACCAACTTATTAGACACGTTCTGAACAGGCCTCAGTTGCCTCACAAAGCCACGACCGGTGGGCATCCAGCACCATCGGGTCAATCAAAGGCCATCCTGCTGGACCACAACGAGCTTGATGAGGCCCTGGCCATGTACCAGGCCGGGTTGCCTGAGGGCCGTTTTCGAGCTCCGATGATCCGTTTGATTTGCAGGTGGCTTGCGATGAAGCAGACAGCACGTTGTTTTGAAGAGTGCTTCACCCCTGTCGTGCGGCGAGAGACAGAGAGCGAGAGAGAGAGAGAGAGATAGAATCAGAAACAAAACATATGAAGGATGTCACTACCATACACACCAGCAGGCAAGTGGGCAAATCATGCACATCATCTACAAACAAGTCAACTATGTCCACCTGGAATTTGAGTCACCAACGGCGCGAGCAACCAATTGCGCCAATTGTTTGCGAGAACGGCCCGGTACTGCAAAGGTTATACGAAGTCCCCAAAGTTGCAATTCCCGAATCTGAGACACAACAAGCCGAAAGCTGACCCTAAGACGAGCTTCTAAACAAGCCTAAGGCAAGCCTCAAAGCCCACTTCTACCAAGACTCAGAACCACCAGCCCACCCCTGCAACACGGGGCTCGTGCCCGCTGAGACGGACCCCAGCCCCCATGAATACTTCCTAAGCCAAACATGACTCTCACGCAAAAGCACGTCTTACCGTGGGGGCAGCATACTCTATCCGGGCATTACTCGCAGGAGCTCCATAAGTACGACGAGTCCATCCGCCTGGCCGAGCGCAAGAACCACCCGAAGGCGCGGAATGGGTGGGGGAAAGCCGACCAACCGCTTGTTTGGAGGGCAAGCTGAAAGTTGAGGACACCTTTGAGATTTGCAAATTCGTAAATCACCTTTCATGATGTTCAACAATAAGGGTGCGAAAGTGTTCTTTGCCCCCAGAGATACAGCTCGGTGGACGGACCAGGATCGATTGATGTAGATCGGATCCCATTTTTCCGCGGCAGAGTCGGTGTAAGGCCCGCCCCTTCCAGCCTGTCTTGAACGGGGAAAAGAGCCAAAGGAACGAGACTTTCCCCCAATCCTACACTCCACTCCAAAAGGCACACGAAAGGAGCAGTGCTTTGTTGGATGCCTCTTTGCGGGCATTGACAACCGAGGTCCGATGGCGCAATGCACAAGCCTGCGCCAAGCAGGGGAAAAATCATGTCGGCTTTTGTCACCATTCGAATGGTGCTACCCTTGGACGAACAAAACGAGTCTGCCGTCTCCGCAAATTGGCGGTTTTGACGGCCTGACAGCTTCGTGCGAGAGGTGATGCACCTCAAAAACTTCTACCTCCAGTGGCTGCTGTCCACTCAGCAGGAGGACGGCCCGGGTGACCCGCTTTGTTGAGTCCAATATTATATAGTCATGTACTTCGGTTGGTATAGGGTTGAGCACTTGCTCCTTGTGGGCACACTCGTTGCTTGGGCGATCTGGGCTTGCCTATTGGCACAGGAGAAGGCTGGCGAACTGCAAGAGATCGAGGGCGACTATGTCAGGCTTGGCTGGGGGCTTTTGGCGAGAGAGCTGCAATCCCTTGAGCCCCCTCCCGGAGTATCCGCATCCGAGCTTCTCTCTCCCTCACTTGTCATGAGCTCACGGTCGCAAATGCAGATTCAAGGAACACACTCAACTTTCCCAACCTTTTATAATTTTTTGTTTGTTGGTGTTGCCTCCCAAAGGTTTCCAGGACTTGCGATCGCTAGCTGTTGGCTCGAGCCATGGCACTGCTTCTCCCGAGCCCGGCGCCGGGGTCGGCGCTGTTGCCGGCGGCTCTGGCGAGTCTGGGCCGGGCTGAGGCGCCGAGCGAGGAGCCCCAGTGGCAGGCCCCCACAAACGGCCGAAGGTGTGGGGGCGGGTGGAGGAAACTATAACTCCAACCCTCTTGGACAAACTCATGCTGGTGACATGCAGTGCCAACCATGGCTGATACGTCAACCCTTCAAGAGGGTGGCAGTTCAGTAAAGGGTTCTGGGATGTCTTCGGCTGAGGTGCCGCTCCCCCCAGCAGGTCCCGCCTTGCGTCGTCTTTGGCTCGGGCACTCAGATGGGAGCGCTGGCAGGCCAACAGAGGCAAGTGGCCTTGCCAACGTAACATTCGGCACTGCTGGATCAGCTTGATGTCAGACTGAGGTGACCAAGAGCAGCTTAAAAAAAACCGCGATGCGATGCGATGCAGCTTTAAAACAGGGGCCACGCAAATCGCTTGCCCCCGGTCATTGAGGCGCTGGGCCTCGGGCTGCTGGCCACAAGGCCCGAATGGCCGGGGTGGAAGAGCCTCGTTTCTTTGGGGGAAGGAGAAAAAAGGGGGAGAAAAAAAAGGGGAGCTTCAGTTTTGGGGGGTTCATTCCCGTTGTGCAGATTGGTTTGCCATTTACCCGCTTCGCGACAACTCGGGACCCAACTTTGACCCAGCGCTTCCCTGCAAGTTAGCCCACGAAAAAGAGCGCGTTGGTCCATGAAGCAAACTGCAGTGGCCCAGCGACATGATTTGGTGCAAAGGAGGCATGCTTTGAGGATCTAAGCGTGTCAGGATATCCATCTATCCAAGCATGGTTGGCGTTCTTTGTCTTCAACATTCTTCCCTTTAGAACAGGTTGAAGATTCCATTTGCGAGTCTGTGAGTTGGCACCCACTTGTATCAAGCTGAGAGAGATGGAGTCTTTGGCCTGAAGTGCGCAGGCGCGGCATCCGGAGCTTCCAGGTGTGCCGACAGGCTGAGGCTGGCAAGGATTGGATTTTCGGGCTCCTTGTGTTCAGATGAATATGGCGAACCCCGAGTGTACAGTTGTGCCTTGCTAGGCCTTGTTGTGCTGTGATGCGCTGTGCAGTGTCGTCTTGTTTGGCTACTTGAGTGAAGAGCATTCACACTTCGCTTTTTACGTTCCGATGCAGCTGAACTCTTATCGCAATTTTAACACGACTCATGCGTTGCTTTCAACTCTTCTGGAACTCGGTTGAGATTTGATGATGGCATCTTTGGCCGTTGCTTGCTTCTTGACCCCTTGCACTCTTTCTATCGTTCTCTGCACAACTAAATGGGCACAGCTCTGTTGGGTGAGAGCCAGTCGCAAGGATGCCCGCAGAGACGATGAGCAAGGCTCGGAAACGGGTGGGCAGGAGTTTAGGAGAGCAACCAAGTTGCCACGAAGGCTTGCCTTGCCTTGCAGACAAAACCACACACACATGCTTATCCCGTGCTGCTTCGCAAAGTTGGGACAGTGTGAGCACACTTCAATAACTGTCTATGTGCTGGGACTCATAGTTCTTGTCAGCATGTGGTGCCTGATTCAATCAAGACCATGCTCCACGTTGCGGGGCGTTTTTCTTTCAGGCGGCGGCAGCCAAAGCAGCAGAGCGCGCCAGCCGTTGCCTGGGCCTCGTAAGCCCTTGGATGGGCTTCTGTGAGCTACATGGGTTTTTCTCCACAGGTATCCAGGAAATGCGAATCATGATGCGTGCAACCTGACAAAACGACGCGGGCGCTACCTTTTCATATCGAGCGGTGGTTCTGTTGCCAACCTCTGGCATGAAGCGGCCGTCCAAAAAATGCCAAGAGAGCAACTGAAACTGGAACCCCAGCTGCATACACGAGCCAAAAGGTCCCAGGTCCATGATATTCTGTGGGTGTCCTTCATGCAGGGTACCCTTTTTGTGGTGTTTCAAAGAGAAACCATGGCCCTCATCAAAGTCACCAAGGGAGCTGTCATCACCCTCCGGCGCTGTTCATGTCGGGTCTTCGAAGTTGCCTTTGGAACCTTTAAGTTTGTAGGAAGCAAGACGCCGTCCCTAAGTCAAATGGCTAATTATTCTGCGGGGGTGGCGCTTCTTTATTCATTGAGTGTCGACTTGGGATAAGTAGCCCCTCCATATTCATCTAGGTGGTTCGGTTCTAGATGGTTCTAGCCAGGAAGCGGGTAGATTTAGGAGGCTTGTCCTAATTAGGACGATCTTGTGAATTAACTAATTTGAAGTGAACATTGTGGCGCTTCAGCACTAGTTGCCTGTTCACCCTCTTGGATGCTCTCCAGACTAGGACCAATGTAGGTTGCCCAAGTCCTTCCTGATCGGGTCAGCCATGTGTGCTTTGAATTCTGTGGTGTGTGGTATCTGTCTAGACCTCCCGAGGTCGGCCTCATCAGAAGCATCGCAGTTGGATCCCCAGACTTCACAGGACCTGGCGCCTCAACCCGCCAAGCAAACTCAGGCAAAGACGAGCCCTGCCAGCCAACTATGGTCCCAACATGACGGCTCAAAAGCAACATGCCTCCCATGCCCTCTATGTCGCACAGTTTGAAGGAAGTCGTGCTATTTGATTTCAGCCCTACAGGCGTGATTATTGATCATTTCGCTGCATTCTTGCAGGCCCGCCGAGAGTTGGTTTGGCTGCTGGGGAAGGGCTAATTACATCAACCCTGAATGCAAGAGGACATGTCGGATGGAGTTGTTTCCTCCCACCGTTACACGTCGCGGAAATTGCAAGAGCAGGGAGGCTATGATTCTTCTCCCGACCTTTGTCTCCTGCCCTGTCCGAGGCTTGATGTGTTATCGCCATCCACAAATGAGCTGGTGAACGTGGACGTGCCGAACCACAACTTGAACATCAGCAGGCATTTGAAGTTGTGGACGCTGATCTCCCCCACAGGCATGCAGAAGGGCAAGTGGTAAATTTTGAGAGGGCCCCACGGAAATAACGAGCCCATTCCTTCCGGTGGGTGAATTCAATTCACAATTCCTATTTGTGCGGAGAGCCACAAGACCCTGCAATTCGGAGCGTGCTCAAGCCGCGGCCCCTGACCTATAAACTGTGTGATCCAGCTTCTGCGCTGCCGACATCTCAAGTGGACTCAATCCAGGGAGGCCAAACGCCTGTTGCACCCAAGCAGATCGGCCGGGAAAAGATCCCGGAGATCGATCGGCAGGTCGCGGCCCACCAAGAGCGTTCAAGGGGGTCAGCGGGCCCAGTCTGCGCTTCCGTGAGACCATGCCAAAGAGGCTCGGATGAATGAACCTGATTCAAAGGCGGGTGGTACTCAAAGGTGAAGCCCTCTCAAATGGGACACTCACGATGTTTCCCCCCCCCAAGAATGGGCTGGGTGGCCCCTATGCCACACACATGTGCAGCTACTTCGGTCGGCTCAGGTCCCGGCCATGTGCACGGCCGCTCCAAGCGATCGCGCCAGAAGGCGAATCCGGCATGTCCAAGTTTGGGGAGGAAAGTGGCTTGAAATCTTGCAATTGCAAGTCACGCAACCACAAAACATGGCAAATCACAGTGTCTTCCTTGTTCCTTACTTTGGTTGTGACTCCCGTTTTGGTTGAAGCGCCTTTGCTAACTTGCTCATTAGCAACGGTTTGAACGGGTGGAGCTCCAGTTTCCTGGATACCAAAGGGCCCATTTGGATTCCTGCACTGGGCCTTTGCGGCACATTGGGCGTCAGGTGCAGTGGCGCTTGAAGCAGGGTCCACCCTTGGCGCACTCCAACTGGGACTTCCCCTCGCGGCTGCGAGTCAGCACCGGCATCGCAGGGGGCCCTGGCGGGTGGTGGAGGGGCGGCAGATTCGGGCGGTGGGGAGGGCCGGGAGTGGGGGGTTGAGCCAGGCGCAAGACTTGAGCTTGAAAGAAATTGCCCCCTTCTCCGGCCTGGGTGTTGGTTTGTTTTTCTCGTTGTTTCTTGTGTTTCCGGCTTTTGGAGGACTGTCCTGTTGTTGCAAATCGATCACTCTGAAGTCCAAGAAGCTTGACGAAGTCAGCTTTGGGCACCAGGGAGAATCCAACCAACCAGCGGCTTGTTTAGGTTGATGCTTGCTGCTTCCCTTTTGTTTGTTGCAGTCCAGTGGCGCTTCTTGGTTCGCCAACCGCCAGGCCAAGCGCCGGAGACTGGAGCAGCCAAAGGGGGCGCCATGCTCAGGGTCCATATTGGTCTCTGCTTTTGGGCGGAGGGTGTTGGCCTTGGCCTCTGTTGGGGGCTTCTTTCAGTCTGTGGTCTTCCTGACACTTCTTGCACTTTTAGCATTCGACGTGGAAGTTCTGGAGTTAGCTCTCTTTTTTTGAGCAAGGTGTTTTGGCATGGGCATGGGTCCTCCGCAAATGGGACGCATCGCGGCCGATAAACGAAGGTCCTTTGGTCTCTTCGTCAGTCCGCTCGCAGAGTGACAAGTGCCGGTGGCTGTTTTGCGGTTATAACTAGTTGCGCCAGTGGGCCTCTTTTTGGGCTTCTTGGCAGACTGCCTTTGCGAGCTTCCGCCCCCGCAAGAGACGTGTCTCCTGTCTGTTTAGTGGACGGCCACCCCTTCTGGCTCATCCAGAGACTTCGGGCGCTCCTCTTTTCCACACCCCAAAGGCGGGGGGTGTGGGTGCGGAATTCCGAGATCACGGTCCGGCCCACCATGGAGAAGATCCGAGAGGCGCTGTTCAACCAGGCTGGGCGGGGAGAGGGAAGGTGCCCATGGATCTCCAAGCTTATCAAGCACATCCCTATACATCTTTCCGAATTTCC